ACCATTGCGCTACCAGGGAAGTCCCAGTAAAAGTGCACTCTGAAGAGCTATGTTTCATGGGGGACTCTGGGGAGTATTTTGAGTATCCAGGCTTTTTCTGCATTAAACATACACTGTCCTTTCATGTTCAAAATGTTTTCAGATCATGTTAAGTTTTAGCGGTATTCATCAAAAGCTATTTCTTGACCCACTTTCGCTGGGAACAGTAAAGGCAGATGCAGCCTGATTAAATAGAGAACTGCCTGGAGCACGTGTTTAAAATACAGATTCCCTGGCCTCTGAATTTGAATCTCCACGGAAGTTCTCAGGTGAATCTTACAATTGGGTAAGTTGGGAAGACCTAACCTGATTTCATTTATAAGAAACATCCAGGGACCTCCCTGGCGGTCCAGTGGTTAAGAGTCCACGCTTCCACTGCAGGGGGTGCGGGTTCGATCCCTGGTCGGGGAACTAAGACCCACATGCTGCATGGTGCGGCCAAAAAAAAAAAATGTCTAGAATAGGCAAATCTATAGGATCTGTGGTTACAGTAGATTAGTGGTTGCCTCGGGGTCTGGGGGCCGGGAAAGGGAAGGGGATGTAGAGGTCCCAGGGATGATACCTAAAGAGTGCCAAGTTTCTTTTGGGGTTGATGAAATCTCTAAAATTGATTGTGATGATTGTACAACTCTGTAAATATACTAAAAGCCACTACTGAATTGCACATTTTAAATGGGTGAATTGCATGGTACGTGGACTAAATCTCAATAAAGCTGTTTAAAAACAAAGCAAAACACTTGGACCGAGCTCTACAAGCAAGGCAACCAATCATCTTTTGCAGACTTGGGTGGTACCTGTTACCTAGTAGACTAGTCAGCAAATACTTATGGATGTATATATTGGAGGGTACAAAGTAAATGAGCAATTGCAATGGGCTGTGATTCCCCTAGTACTGTACTAGGGGAAATGCATGCTTCTGTGACAGGAGCCCAGTGGAAGGGAAGCTTCCTGAAGAAATTTGTGATGTCTAGGTTGAAGCCTATCAGGTAACCAGGCATTAGCAAGGCAAGATGAGGAGTGGGAAGAGTGTACCACAGAGGGGCACACAAGCCCTGCGGGTGGTTCGGTGAGGTCCAGTGCAGACTGAGAAGTTAGGTGGCAGAAGTGAGGCTGGAGAGAGGAACACACTTAAAAGCCTTTGTGAGCCAGGTTGAGGGGGCTGGAATTTTCCCTAAGAGAAACTGTAGTGGTGGGTTTATGTTTTTAGAAATCACTTTGCACCATGGAGAATGGACGGAAGGGCAAGATCAGAGGCAGGGAGCCTGTGAGGGGGCAGTTTTAATGTTTAGGAGAGAGGTCAACATGTCCTGAAACTGAGTGGTGCCAATGGGGATAAAGAGAAGGAGACAGAATTTAGAAATATTTAGGGCATTTAATTGAGAAGATTCTGATGGCTGGGAAGAGGGGACAGGGAAAGAGTCAAGGGTGAGGCCCAGTTGCGTGGCTTAGTACCTGAGTACTTTCTCCAGAAGTTCTGGAGGAGAAACAGGTTTTGAGATAAGTTTGATTTTGAGAATGCTGTTCAAAAGGTGTCCAGTCACCAGTTGGATATGGGGGTTGGGAGGTGAGAGAGCCGTGTGAATCACTGGCACACAGCCTCAGCGTATAGATGGAAGCCAGAGAAATGGATGAGGTGGTTCAGGGAGTGTGTTTCAAAAGAGAGGAGAAAAGGGCCTAGAATGGAATCCTGTGGAGTGATGTTTATAAGAGGATGCCTGAGGAGGAGGTGGAGGAGAAAGTTGTAAGGAGATTCAGAGGAAATAGCTACAAACGTTGGTGTTAGCATGGCAATTCATCTGCTTATTCAGCTGCTCCAAGTCAGTACTTATTGAAGACCCATATGCCCTGGGTGTCTTCAGAGATAAGTGAGACGTGACCATTGACATTAAACTTAAACTGTGACCCCACTGCACACCCCATTGCAGCCTTCTGAAACAAGAGGCCCCTTCTCGCAGGTCAATGACAGTCTTATTTTCCAAATGATAGACGTTCTTCCTGAGCTGTTTGTATAGGCCCAGGAGTCCTTCCCAAGCTCACCCTTCTGTATTACGTAGGCCCAGAAGAGCCAGGTCTGGCAGCCAAGCCAAGAGCCTTCTGTCCATGGGTGATGGATGGCCTAAATAGGGCACTCCAGGGCTGTTTGGGGTTGGGGGGAGCATGTCATATGCCTAGGGTTCAGCAGATTGTACCCACACACCAGGCAGAAGCACATAAGGAAGTCACCCCCGCTCTGTAGGCGAGACAAAGAAGCAGTTCTCTTCCCACGTGCCAACCCATCTGCTTCTTTGCATTTACCAACATGCCTTTTTTTTTTCTTTCTTTTTTTTTTTTTTGGTTCTCTGCAGCTTTGACTACATGAGGAAGAAGAGTGGGAGACTGGAGGAAAGGTAAGGTTGGAGGAGGGCAAAAGGAAACGAGGGGAGTTGGGGGAGCCTCCAGGGACCACCAACACAATAAATTTTATCCTGGACTACCTCAGCCTGGTCCTTTTGCAGTGCATGCTTATTAGTTTCTTCCGGGGAGACCCCCAACGATGGTGGCCAAGGCATGGCTGTGGCCTTGATGGACCTGATTGATGGGGTGCTTCGCAGTGTGTCACAGAACTTGGAGGCCCACTTCCTTCTGTCCCCTCAAGAGGCTGGCACAGGCTCCACAGGACAGCTGGGGACAGGCTTTCCCTGCTCTGATGCATTTGACTCCCGATGGTGTCATCAACCTCCCATCACTGGAGACAGCAGGCTCTCAACTGTCCAGAGTCGCGGGAGTGAGTGCCTCCCCAGACCTGTGTGACAGCAGGGTAGGAGATAGGAGGTGTGCTCGGAGCAGCTTTGCCCTGTGGGAAGACCTATGTGAGTCTATGTGTATTGGGGGAGGGCAAGGTGTACAGAAGGGAGGACAAGGGCTCTCCCTGCCCCCCACCATCTCACAGACATGGGCCTGAGCCAGGGTATAGGAGGCCATCCAGCCTGACTTCAAGTCACTGATGGAGAGGGGTTGAGTGGCTGTTCTGGGGTTGGTTCACACTGCTCTGAGCTGGGTAGGGTTAGTGGGGCAAAGGCCCGAGGCTCTTTTTGTCTTGACCTTGATAGTCCTTCGGCTGTACCTCATAGTGCCCTAATTCTAGCTCCTGCACCCTCTGACCTTCATATCCACCCTCACCTAGAGCTGAATATGAGGCTCGGGATTCAGGACTCTCCTTGTAGAGGACAGAGTTAGGTACCTTATCCCTTCCCAGAATTGGAATGCAGAGATGTAGAGCCACTCAGATTTCCAGTGACAGTCCCAGTTGACCCCTGGCTGGGAAATTTTCCCATCCTACATTTCTTGCCCAGGCTCTGTCTTCTCCTGTGGGTTAAGCCATGAACTTGTGCTAGTCCAGTCACCCCCGCCTGCACTTTCACAGGACATGGTCAGCCAGTGTTCACTTCCTCTTTGCCCACCACACAGGCCACGCTTTGGATGTCAGTGAACAGTCCTGCCCTACTGGGGGACCTCTCATGGGGCCTCAGGCCTGAGGGGCTCCTAGGGGTGGTCCTGGGACTGCAGCCCTGATGCAGGGGACCCTGCGGCAGGCCCAGGCTGTGGCCAGCTTTGGGTACTGTCTTGGTCTCTATCGTTTGTTTGCCTTCCCCTCCCCTACCACTCCAGCCGACCACCCCAAAACTGAGCTACACTATCCCTCCCATGCCACCCAGTCACAGAGGGAGCACAGCGCTGCGCCGACGCGCTGAGGGCTGTCAGCCTGCCCCCACCCAACTGGAATGAGCCACCTGCATCCACACCCAGGTGTTTCCTGTGCTCCTTCCTGTTACCGTTTTTTTTTTCTGCTCAGCTTGGCTTCCCCAGCAGGTGGTTAAGGGCCCGGCCAAACCTCTTCATACACAGCTCTAAAACACAGGGGGGCAGGGCTCTCTGGGGATCTGGGTCACCCCCCAGGGGGGACTGTTGGGCATCTCATTGGCTCTACCCGAGTGCAGGGACACAGACTCCCCCCAGGGTGTCACGCTGCTGTGCTACAGCCACAGGTACTGGGACGCCAGAGTGGGCTCAGGGAGTGGGGAAGGCCCTGCTCTTGCACCGTCTCCACTGAAAGCTCTGGAGGGAGAGGGGAAGGGTGGCAGACCTGTTTCTCCAGCCTTGAGTGTGGGCCTCCCTCGGGCCCTCCTTAGAACAGGCCTGCCATGCTGAAGTCCCCCCACCCTCAGTCTCCTCCCATTGAACACTTAACTTTCTGGGGTTAATAAACTCACGTGAGCCCTCTCCCTAGAGCCCTCTTTCCTGAAGCAGCACAAGCCTGCCAGCTGTGGGGAGGTCACAGGGTTTAGTCACGTTTGTTATTACGGAGAGGAGGTGGCTCAGGGAGAGGAGGGACCTTCTGTTTAGAGTCACAGGGCAGCCATCCGGGTCTCCTGCCTCCCAGGCCCCAGCTCTTCCCCTCGGCAAGAATCTCCTCTCAACTACCCAGCGCTCAAGGAGCTCCTTGTGCTCAGCCCCTTCTGTAGGAAGCTGCCTGGGCTGAGGCGAAGACCCAGAAGCCTGGCATTCCCTGACAGGGTTCTGCTGCTCCCTGGTGGCCAGAAGCTCCAGCCACCACCACACCTTTTCCTGCCTGCTTCCTCTTTGCCTCCTGGCCAAGTGAGCTGGCTGCCAGGGAGCCATTCCCAGAACTGGCACCCTTTGGGCCTTCTCTAGGCCAACTCCACAGTTTGGCTCCAGTCTAGGCCCACAGCTTCCAGGCCCAGGGTACACCCACCTGCAGCCCGGGCCTCCTCAGCAACACTCCACCACCCTCTTCCTCTGCCCTCTTTTCCAAGCGCAGTTCCAGCCTCTGAGCTCTCTTCCATCTGGATTTCCAGGGCAAAAGCACATGGCATTGTCACAGTTGGAGTGTGGACACACTAGTGTCAGGGCCACAGCCAGAGTGTGCTGGAGCAGAAGGTCAGTAGTGCACCAGTCCAGGCTACGTAGGAAAGGCATTTTGCTTTTTTATTTTCTGTAAAACTCTGTAAATAAAATACAAAACCAAGGGACGTGACAGGGCAGAGGCAGGACGGCCAGGCCCGGGACACCGATCTATGGCAAGAGTGCTGAGCCGAGGCTGGGAGGCACTTGACTGCGGCACTGACTCTACCCACCCCGAGGACAAAAGGAGAATATATTAGATTTTCATTGATAGGAATCTGTGAGGGAGGAGTGTCTGGAGCCAGCCCTCACCCTCCCTGCCAGTGCCTGGTAAGCCCTGAAAGTGGGGGGAAGGGGCACTGGGGGCCGGTGGGTGGGGAGTTTAAAATGCCGTGCTGGCCATGCTGCCGGGCCCGAAGATGCGGGGCAGGGCATCCAGTGACTCCTCCAGCCGTCGATGGGCAGACTGTCCCTCTTCTCCTGTAACAGATAAAGATGGGATCAGGAGAGGCCCCAGCCCCGCCCTGACCCCACCTCACCCCTGACCCCATCTCACCCCTATTCCCAGCAGCCAAAATGTCATAGAACTCAACTTGACCCATATCTCCGATTCCCCAGTCTCACCGCATTGCTGCAGGCTCTGCCGAGCTGCTTCCCTCACGGCTTCTGTGTCCGTTTGGCACAGGTACACCAGGGGCTCAATGCCTTCAGGAGCCTATCGGGGGAGAGAGCATTGAGGTGGGCCCAGTGCAGCAGGTGAGAAAGGCTCAGGACCCAGGGCTTGGGGAGCTGGGAGGGGAGAGAAAGGGGTCACCTTGATGCAGCCCAGGGCCAAGCAGCCAGCCACTCTCATCTGCACATCCTCATCCTCGAGCTGGTCCAAGAAGCAGAGTAGAGCCTGGTTAAGGGTGGGAAGGCAGACTTAGCCAGACACTGGGAGCCTGGGACCCCAGCCTTTGCCCTCAGGGAGCCCTGCCTGACTCTTACCCTTTCCCGGAAGGCAGGGCCCAGTGACAGGCTCCGGAGCTGAGTGCTGACAGCAGCCATGACCTTGTTGTTGCCATGGACAAGCAGGGAGCTGAGGGCCCGGAGCCCATCCCTTCGAAGCCGCCCCTCAGGTGCCAACCTCAGGGCTTTCAGCACCACAGCCTGGTCATCTGAGTTCAGATTCCGCACCAGTAACACTGAAAAAAGGAAGCCGGGCGGGGGGGGGGGGGTCAGTTGGAACAAGCTGGCAGGGCAAAGAGCCTCCCGGGGTGGGTTCTTTTGTACCTTCATGTCCTGAATTCACACCTTCAGACCCACCCATAGCATCAGGCCACTTTGTGACCAGGGCTACTGCCTCACCCTCCTCGGCAGTCTCGGTCACATAGGCCTCCATGGAGGAGCTGTCCAAGGCTTCGAAGTAACTCCAGAACTGGAAGATGGTGAGCTGCTCTCCAGGGCCTGACTGGGGCCTCCGGGGCAGCTTCTGCCCCAGGGCATCCTCCAGGAACTTGACACACACTGTGGGAGGCAGTGCCGCAGGTCTCAGGGTGTGGATGGACCTGGGTCCTTAGCGGGAAGAGTGCTCCCACCCCATGTGCAGGTGCAGGGACCCAGCACAAAAGGGTCCAATCTGGGCCCTTTTGTGCTGAGGCATGAGCCTTCGATGTTTCTTCCCAGTGCTCATCTCAGCATGTCTCTGTGGGCTGACCTGGCTTTCCCTGAGGTCCCATCACTGGGGATCTGAGAAAGGAGAGCAAAGGGGGCAGGTAGGCAGCCCACTCACCAGCCTCAGCTAAGCCTGGCTGGCGCAGGGAGAGACGGGCGCCGTACTGATTGCAGAAGGTGAGGAGCACCCGCTCCACGGGGCAGATGAAGGGGCTGAGTCCCTCTGTACATTGGTCCCAGAAGATCAGGAAGCCGGGCCGGGAGGCCGAGAACTGCACGACTGTGAGGAGGTGCAGGAAACTGTCAGCAACAGGACAGGCCGGTGGGGAGACAGGCGCATAGGTGGGATAGGGCAAGGGAGGAACTTTGGGGCAGACATGAGGCAGAGCCCACACAGCTTTTACCTTCCTGGGCAGAGGTGGCAGGGATTTCCCATCGCCTGCTAAGCTCACATACTGCTTCGAGCACTCGGGCCTCCCGTAGTAGTCGCTCCAGGGCCCATGCCTCTTGGCAGCGCAGGGGCCCAAATGTGCCCAGTTTCTGGAGAATAGGGATGGCCAAGTAGCTCAGACCTCAAGGCAGAGCTTAGGGAGGGTGGAGACCAGGGACTACCAGTCCCTGCATGCATCGGGAGAGACTTGGGGGAGCCAGAGTGTGGGAGGTGTTCTATTCAGCAAGAGCCAGGCCCTGGGACATTGGGGAGTGGAATTCAGAGGAGGTGTGCAGGGCCAGGATTGAAGTGTAGGGCTCCCTGGGGGAAGGGGCTACAAGGGAAGGGTAGGGGAATACCACTAGCCTCACCAGCAGGAGGCAGCTGCAGTGGTACAGATGCTGGACCAAGGCAGTGTCCAGAGCTGGACACTCTGTGCTGAGGGGTCGGGCACTAGGTGAGTCGAGGCTGTCCTCAGCCCCAGGCTCCGGGCTGTTTGGGGGCCTGAGAGAAAAATGGGGTCAACCGCCCCAGGAGCACACATCATCATCTGGTCACCAGAGTATTTTTATTAAGTTCCCCCCATCCGAGAACAGAAGAACACATCATGCACAAACAACAGACAATGGGTAAGTTCACGGAGGACTTCCAGACGGAGGAAAGGGCTGGGACCAGCAGGTGGTAGCAGGGGTCTCCAGAGCCTGTCTGCCCAGGGCTACCTCCAGCTAGGACTGCTGGGACCTCTGGGGCCGCCGGGGCTGGCATGGGCGGGAGTAGGGTTGCAGGCGGGATGGTCTACGCAATGTGGACTGCAAGGGATTGCGGCCCAAGAGGCGCAGGGCACGGGGCCATAACCTAGGCAGCACTGGAGGGAGGAGGGGCTGGGCATGACCTTCAACTGGGAATCGGCAAAGGCCACTCTGGGACAAAGAGCCAAGGGGCCAGGGTCTCTGGGAAAGCTGGGGTCCAGACAGAGGGGGTTGATGCTGGGGGGCACAGGATGCATGGAGAGGCATAGTAAAGGCTCGTTCATAGGGTAGGTTCAAGGTGAGGCCAAGGAAGAGAGGAGGAGCTGGAGGCTCAGGAGCTGGTGGGGACCGATGGAGGAGGCAGACACTGCAGGGAGGAGGAGGAAGGTGACCAGAAGCACTGGGAATACAGATGGGATTGAAAACATGAGCAACAAGGAAACACGAGGAGTACATGGGAGAGATGAACACAGATGTACCCGCCAGCAAGTCCATCCCCTCCCACCCACCTCCCTCGAGCCCACCACCCATCTTACTGCTCTCTTTACGTGCTCCCCCTGGCCTCACCTCACCTGTTCCCCTTTCTCGCCTTTCTCCTTCACCAGCTACTCACCTCCCCTCTTCCCCCGCTCCTAGCCCCTCTCACCTGTCCCCAGGACTGTCATTGTCTTCATCTTCATTGAGGAAGCTGAAGCTCTCCAGGGCATGCTCCACAGTGATGCTAAGACTGGAGGCCCGGCTGCGAGTCAGGCCTTGTCTCTGCTGGGGTTGTGAAGGGCGTCAGAGCTGTCGCCCCTGCCTGGCTGCCCTCCCTGCGCTGCCGCACACCAGCCCAGCCCTCCTCACCATAAGCAGACTCTCCAGCCGGGTCACCTCCTGCTCCAGGCCCTGCAGCTCAGGAAACTGGCCACGATAGTCATCCAGGGCAGCCATTAGGGCCCCCAGTGCCTCTTCCAGTTTCCTGTCCCCAGCACCTCCAGCTGCCCCTGGAACTGGGGCCTGGGCAGCCCTGGCCACTCTAGGGTCTGAATGCTGGGGCACAGGGGCTAGGGGTGAGGGAGGGGGACTTGGGCTCTGACGGATGGCTTCTGGGAGTTTTGGGGAAGGGCTTGTGAGGGGTTCCCAACTGGAGCAGGTAGGACTTGGGTGGGAGGTGCAGAGGGCTATGGGGTCTGCATGAGTGCAGGAAGTGGAGGCTGGGTAGCTACAGGACAGGGGGTCGATGCCTGGGAGGGGAGGGTCTGTGTTTGCAGAGGGGTTGGAGAGCGTGGCAAGGTCTAGAAAAGTGGAAGGGCTTACAGTTATAAGCGTGGGACTTGTGACAGAATGGGTAGGACTCCCGGTGATCTGGACTGGGTCCTTAGCATTGGGTGTAGCGGTGTGAGTTGAAATCCTGGCTGTGTGAGTAGGGGTTGCAGTAGTGTGGGTACTGCTTGTGGTGGTGTGGGTAGAGCTTGCAGTAGTGTTGGCAGGGCTTATTATGGTATGGGCGGGGCTTGTTATGGTATGGGTAGGGCTTGTAGCAGTGTGGGTGGGGCTTATGGTGGTATGGGTAGGGCTTGCAGTAGTATGGGTGGGGCTAGTAGTAGTGTGGGTGGGGCTTGTGGTAGTCTGGGCTGGGTGTGTGGTACTGGGGGTAGGGCCTGCAGTAGAGAGGGTAGAGATCACGTGTTTGTTGGTGGGGCTTGTGACAGTGTGTGTCAGGTTTGTGACAGTGTGGCTGAGGCTTGTGGTGGTCTGGACTGGGTCTGTAGTATTGGGGACAGGAGCTACAGGAGTGACGGTAGAAAGCATCGGCTTGTGGGTGGGACTTGTGGTGGTCTGGACTGACCCTGTGGTACTGGGGGTAGGGCCTGTAATAGTGATGGTAGAGACCACAGTCTTGTGGGTAGAAACTGTGGTAGTGTGAGTAAGGCTTGGAGCACTATGGGTAGGGCTTACAACACTAGAGGTGGCGCTTGTAGTGGTGTGGGTGGGGTCTGGCAATTCAGGAGAGCTAGAATTTATGGTCTTGTTAACTGAGTCTAGGTGTGCGGAGGGGGCAGGGTCTGTAGATGTGTGGGCAGGGCCTGTTGTACTGAGAGCGGGGCTTATGGCAGAATGGCCAGGGTCCAGGGCAGAAGGGACAGGACTAGGGTGCTCCCCAGGTGTGGGACCTGGATGTGCAGGTGGGCTGGGTCCCTGGACTAGACTTTCTAGGCCTGCAGCCTCCACTGAAGCCTCAGCCAGGGCAGCATCCACACTGGCCTCACTGATATGGCTCAGAGTCCGGCTGTAGGGGGCATGCCCATTGGCCAGGGCTGGGGCCATGGCCCCCTCCTCATCCACGGTTCCAGAAGTGGAGGTCTCAGCCCTACGGAAGGCAACCTGGATGGGCAGAGGCTCAGGCTGCTGCACCAGGGGCCTGGGGGCTGAGGAGTGGCGTGCAGTGCCTGAGAGCTGTGGGCTAGAGGAGTCATCGGAAGATTCGGACGACAGGGACCACGCTGTCCCATTCTCCAGCTCCTCCTGCCGCCTCAGCATATTCTAGGAGAGAGAAAAGGACATCTCAGGATCACCCCCAGCAAACCCCTGGATGGGGAGCTGAGCCTGGGATGTGACTCACATAGAAGGCCTGTTCCCGAAGTGAGGGCGTGTCTGGTGGGCTCTGGCTATAGGTGGAGAAGCGCTTGGTGACTGTGGAGGCCTTGTTGACAGTAGAAGCGGCTGAGGGCTGGTCATCCTTGTCGAAGGGACTGGAGAGGGAAAAAGCTGTTAGAAGGTGCTAACATGAAGCCCCAGCCCCGTCTCCAAGACCCTCAGCCCCACCAACCTCCACGTGACTTCCAGGCTGAGCTTGATGGTGCCGAGGTCATTAATGTCCACAGCTACAACCTGGGGCAGGGCAGCGAACAGATCCTTGGTCTCACAGGAGACGCTGCCTACAACCACATGGTTGGCCAGGCCCTTCAGTTCTGTCACCTGTAGCCAAGAATGCATGGTGGGGTCACAAGGGTGTAGGGGTCATGAGATTGTGGGAGATCAGAGGTCTGAATTTGCATAGAGGTTATGTGACAGTCACAGGGTCATTGGGCCATGAGGAAGTTACAGGGAATGGAGTTCTCAGGGTAATGGGGCCATGGAGGCTCGAAGCAGCCTGGGAGCACGGGGACCACAGAGGTCTAAATTTGTAGTCATTGAGGTCGTGGGAGTCACAGCCTCATGAGAGTTCAGGGGTCATATATTCACAAGGTCAGGAGGTCACAAGGAAATCACAGGGTCATGAAGGTCAAGGGGTCACACATTCACAGAGGGCCATGGAACCAGATGGGGGTCACAGGGGTAAGGGTCTCAGGGTCATGAGGATCATAAGGGGTTCACAGGGTCATAGAGCCACAGGATCTTGGTGTCCTATGGTTCTGGGCAGAGACATCACCTTGATGGACAGGAACTCCGTGAGCAGAGGAAGAAAGACGGTTTCCTCACTGTCCCACACCTGCTTTCCACTACCCTCTATGCGGCCCCGTAGTTTCCAGCGCTGACGCCCATATTTCATGCAGATCTAGGGGAAGAGGCAGGTTGAAGCAGCCCTTGGTGTTGCGACCCTGCCATCCCAGCCCTTCCCTGCCCATCCTCCTACCTCATACTGATCGCCCACACATAGCCTGGCGAAGCCAGCCAGCCCTGGGAGTGGGGGAGAAGTAGATGAGCTGGGTCCAGGGGTCTCAGGCACACACCTCCCTCTCCCCGCCACCAGTCGGCCTCACCACTTGGTACCTTTCATCCGGAGATGGAACTCGCCCAGCTGTGCTTCCAGCTCACTCTCCAGCAGGCACATGCTCTGAGAGGGATGGGCAGGGACAGGAGGAGGTCAAGAACCAGTCCCCTCTCACCAGCTCTGCCACACTCTGTGCCTCTGCCTCACAGGCACACACCCCTCACCTCTGTGTACTCCCGATGCCCCCGAGTAGCCTCGGCCAGGCTGTCCCGGGCCTCACGGCTCCCTGGGGAGCCGGTGCTGTAGGCACGGACCATGTTGTAGGCGCCATCCCGGAGACGCCGCTGGACACAGTATGCCTCGTACAGCTCGTCGATCTGGGCAGATGAGTGGGGTGGCAGAGGGGGGATTGAGACTCACTACTGGGGTTGCTCACCCAGGGCCTAGCATCATCCCATCTCCCTGTGATACCCAATCCCCCACCCCACGCTACAAGCACACACGCATGCTGCACAAGTACCTTGCTGGCGTGGAACTCCAGCCGTCGTAGGAAGCGTTCAATGGACTTGACTTGCTGGGGGAGAGGTGCGTTAGGAGAAGCCTGAGGCCCAGGGCCCTTTACCTCCCCCTGAGCCAACCTCTTTCAACACCATTCTCTATACACTCACCTTGTCTAAGTCATACAGGAAGCCCTGCGGGGAGAGATGAGGGGGGCATTAGGAGGTAGGGGAAGTACTCCAGCAGGGGCAGTTGCTCACCCAGACCTACCTAGCTCCTTTTCATCACAGCCTTCCTCCCTCTCACACCACAGTCCACAGCCATTCCAGTCAAAGCAGGGACTGACCTACCTTCCCACGTGCCTGGTCTTTGCTGGTGTCATAGATTTGGTCCCCAAGGCCCCTCTAGTACTCTTCCCCCCACCTCTTCCATGGGATCCCTCCCCTGGCCCACTGCCTTTTCTACAACCCCTAGGAAGAGAGCTCTGTGCCTCCTCATGCATGGTTCCCTCTACCAGGGAACTCCTGTTCATGCTTCAAGACCCAGCAGAAATGTTTCTTCCTCTGGGAAGCCCTGACCTGTTCCCCAGGAAGAACCATGGCTCTCCCTCAGTACCACTACAACATAATCTTCTGCTGTCCACGTCTGTGGGGTTTGACCCAACCCACTGGAAGCTCCCATGGACAGGCACTGGGTCCCAGGCAAAGTACATGCAGCCTGGGAAAGCTGAGGAGAGGAACCTCCCCAGCCTTCCCTGATACCCCCTTTTCTAGTCACACCTGGACCAAATCACCCCAGAAAACAGCTCTGATGTCACCCAGGGCTGGTGCTGCCCAGTCCCCCACACCACAAGAGCAAAGGGCATATTAATCCTGGGCATACGGGATGCCAACCCTTCACTTACCAGGCGAGAATTCCTCTTGGACTCCCTTATCTGTCTTTGGAGTTTCTCCTGCTCCTGCTGGTGCACTTCCAAATAGGCCCTGGGGAAAGGGGTGACCACAAGAGTTATCTTACCTCTCCAGCTTCTACCTGCCCAGGGAACAGGCAGTGAGGAGAGGGTGTGAGGCTGGGGAAGGTTCTACTAGCAGAAAGGGAATGAGGACTTAGGGAGGGATCATGGGACAAGGCATTGGGAGGGCACTGCTTACGTCAGGCCTCGCTTGAGCGTCGTGTACACCAGGTCCAGCCGCTCAGGCTGTGGGACCTTGGGGGCCGGGTGCGCCACTGAAAACATCTTGGACACTCGGGAGAGCGCTGGGGGCTTCCGTGGGGGCCCCGGGGGACTGAAGGCTGGGAAGCTCCTGAAGAAGAGACTGCACTCAGGAAGGGGCAAGAAGTCATTCCCCAAGCCCTCACTTGCACACTCCAACCCGGTCAGACTCTCTTGACCCCATAAGCCCCCCTCTGCCGCGTACCTGGGCCCCCGCTCCTGGCTGCCGAGGACGCCTGCGAAGGACTGGCTCCTATTGACCCGGGCGCTGAGCAGGCGGCGCTGCGGCCGCACCGACAGGGACATCATGGAATGAGTCCGCGCGGGGCTCCCTGGGGGTGGCGAGTGAGGGTGTACAGCGCCAATCAGGCCCTTGAAGCCCCCTCCCCGCGGCCCCGACTCTGTATCTCAGTCCTGCCGGCCACGGCCTGAGGCTGGAGTCCGAACCCCAGCAGCCCTGGTGCTTATGACAGGGCGGCCGCGGGTGACTCGGTGTCGGACTCAGCGTGGCCTCGGCTACGCCCCCACTTCCTGCAGAGGTGCAGGCTCCGCCTGCCGCGCGGGGCAGGAAGGGGGGTCGCACTGGGACCCTCCCCGGGCTGGGAAGGGGCAGGAAAGGGGAGGGGCGCGCAAAGAATGTGCGGAAGCGCCTGTTTACCCGGGGGTGGGGCGGGCTCCCCAGCCCTGCCTTGACCTCCTCCCCCCAAGTGGACCAGGAGCTCCCACGCCCACACCCCGAGAGGCCGTAGGAGGTCACGGGGCGGGGCGGGGTGCGTGCTTTGAGCCCAGCGGAGCTGCCTGGCAGGCCCGGCCTGTGCAGGTTGGGCTCCCCACACCGGCCGCCCTGCGGAAGCTGCTCCCCTCCAACCCCCACCCGCTCCGAGGCGCCCAGACGCCAGAGCCCTCCCGGTGCCCAGAGCCGGGGGATTCCCAGGTTGGGGGGCAGTGCCGAGAAGTGCCCCGCCCCCTCCACTTTCCTGAGACTCCAACCGGGAAACTGAGTCACAGACAGCAGCCTTTGCCCGTGACCTTAGCAGGAAGAGATCCTCCGTAGACCCCCACACCGCTCCGGCGAAACACGCGCCCCAGGCCCACAGAACGCGGCCCGCAGCCCCCTGGGACCAGCCCCGGAGCCTCCGCAGCCCCGGACCAGGTCCTACCTCTCTTCTTGGAGTTCATGGTAAGTCCGGGACAGCCCTCCAAGCTCCGTGCTTGCCCCCCGTGTCCCCGCCGGCCCAGGGCCACTCGGTGCCGGCCGGGCTGGGCTCCGCGTTCGCTCCCAGCGACTCTGGCTCCTGCTTCAGCTCCTCCTGGCGCCGCCCCCCGCCCAGTTCCTGCCGCCTGACTCAGCCCGCCGGGATGGGGCGGGACCCGCCGGACCACGGGGGCACCTGGCCCTTGGCCCCCCTCCCAGCCTCTGGGAGGGGTGACTGGAGGTTCCCCACAGGCAGGGGACTGACAGGGGTCTTCTCGGCTGGGTCAGGAGTGTGGGTAAAGGGAGTCGAGGGCGGCGGTGAATATGGAGGGATAAACAGAGTGAGGACACCGTGTGGGGCTGAATTGGGTGCAGTTAGCACAGGGGGCTCATAGTGTGGCTGTTGAGGAGTGCTGAGAGAGAGCTGGACAGAGGGCTGAGAGTTGGGGTTCTGAGTGTGTGAAGGCTAGAGAGCAGGGGCTGAGAGAGTAGAAGGAAGGGCTGGGGGTGCTAAGTGTAGGGGCTGTGCCAAAGGACGGCAGAGAAGCACTGAGCATGAGGGGGTTTGGAGGCTGAGAAGGAGCTAAAAGTGGGGGACTGGATCAACCCCATATTATGTGTTGCCACCGAGAGAAGGAAGAGAAGCAACTGGGTGCAGAGAGTCCCATAGCACCCTGCACCACCCCCATCCCTCCACCCTCAGAGGGGATGCTCAGTCTGGACACCCTCTCTACCCCCAGGCCACAGGATAGAGGATCCGGTCCCATTCCCCAATCAGGGCCTTCTCTCTGGCAGAAGCTGCATCCTAGGGCAGAGGCCCCATCCTTCTGGCCCCCACCTCACATGGGCTGAATCCCCTTGCTGTTGGCCCTTTCTTGCCCCCAGTATCTCTTTATTGACTATCCCTATCCAACTCTAGCCTGGATAAAGGCCACCATACTCAGGGCCCATTGAGCATCTCATCCTCTCAGATGGCCTGGGTGCTCCCCCACCCCATAAACACTCTTGCTCCTTGATGCTCAATTCTGCTGCACTGGGCTTACTTTTTCCCCAAGAGACTGGGGTGGGCCCAGGGATCTGCATTTCCAACCAGCCCACCACCCCCCTACAGATTCAGATGCAAAATGTCCAAGGATCCTAGTTTGAGAAATGCTCTCTCCCCCTCCCTCCTTGAAGACTGGATGCTGTGCACCCTATGCTGGCAGCTATGCATTCCCATGGATTGCCCACCCAACACTGGCCTCTCTGCTCCGTGCAGCCACCCTCCATGGGAACACCTCAGTCTCATCACCTGGCTCTGGAATGACCCTTTCCTAAATCAGAACCACATCTCCATCACCCCCACCTCACCTGCCTTCTACCTGTGACCTCTTGAGACCTCAGCTCATTTATTCAACTATTTACCAAGTGACAACCCTATGCAAGTCTCTGGAGATAACAGCTGGAATTGCACAGACATTGCCCTGCACGGAGCTCACAATCCGCCTCTGCTTCCTTTCTGTCTGCCAGTTCCCACCTACCTTCTCTTCTCTACCTTCCTTGCACACCCTTCTCCCCAGCCTGGATCTGCAGCCACCACTCCAGCTTGCTCGCCTGCTACCAATATCCCCAGCACCCTGGGCTTCTCTATTACCTGGCAGAAACCAACCCTGGGCAACCTAACCCCCTGCCTTCTCTGCACCTGTGCACAGGCTGGCGGGAGCTGCCAGAGGTCTTGGCACAGCAGCTGGGCTGGAAAAGAGCAAATCTCAACCTCAGCCAGGCTTTTGTTTCCCATGCGGGAAATCCTCATGTGTGACCTTAGCCATCTCTCTCCCTTTCCATGGAAGATGAGTGTTTCAAACTTTCTCCACAAGCCTCAAACAAGCTCAAGTCACTCCCACATAGAAGATGAAAACAACCTTGGAAACCATCCAAATGCCCATCAGTAGATAATGGAATGCTATACAACAAAAAGAATGGACAATATACAACCACATGCAACGATGTGGATGAATCCTACAGACATAATGTTGAGTGAAAAAAGCAAGACCACAAAAGAGAATATATGTTTGAGTTCCTTGATATAAAGTTCAAAAACAGTTAAACTTAATCTATGGTGACAGAAGTCAGAATAGTAGTGACTATTAATAGTAGTGACACTACCCCTGGGGAGTAGTGACTGGAAGGGAGCGCAAGGGGGCTGACAGGGTACTGATTATGTTCTGTTTCCTAATCTGGGTTGTATTTCCTGATCCTATATGGGTGTGTTCCTTTGTGAAAATGTCTTCTGAGCTGTACAGTTAGGACATGTATCCTTTCTGTGTGAATATTATATTTCAGTATAAAGTTAACTTTAAATAAATAACTACAAAAAAAAATGACCCCTCTGTGGACTCCCAGCCTCTTTCTAGCTACCCTACCCCTCACCCTATTTGGCTCTTTTAGAGCCAAGTTTCTTGAAGAGGTGTCTACCTCCATTTCCTCTCCAAACCCACCCACTCTTCTTCCTATCTTGGTACAGCTTCTATACCCAGTACTCCCCTGACTGGTCTGGACAAGGTCACCAGTGACTTCCCCATTGCTGAATCCAGTGTCCAATGTTTGGTCCTTATCCTGCTTGATCTCAGCAAAGCTTTTCACTGTGTAGTTCTCTTCCTCTTCCTTGAGCCTTTCCTTGTCTTGGATTTCAAGAGACAACGTGCCTCTGGCTTTCCACCTATCGCTCTGGCTGCACATTATTATTTTCCCAGAGGATCTGCCTTTCTCCCTATCCCTGAATGGGCCTCATCCTCCCCACTCATGGGCTGGGTACATCTCCCACAGCTTAATGCCATCTAAAGTTTGCCAGCTTCCATGTCTCTTCCTTGCCCAAACCGTTCTTCTGAGCACCAGGCCTGTTTATCCAGCTGGATACCTCCTGGAAGCTGAGTGACAATGTGGAGTGGGTTATTAGGGATGTGCTAAGTTTGAAGGCCCCAAACTAAAGTCACCACTTTCCTCCTCAAACCTGACTCTCCCCAGTCTTAACCTCTCCCCAACAGCCCCACCATCTATTTATCCAGTTGTTCAAGACAGAAACTAGGAATCATCATGGATCCCTCAGCCTCTGTTACCCCCACATCTACTCAGCCACCCAACTCCTGCCGTCTCTGGAATCTGCCCCCTCACCTCCACCCCTATAGCTAGAACTCAAGGCCAAGCCATCACCAATTCTCACCTAGAACCCTACAGCAGCTTCCTAATGGGTTCCCTGTCTCCATGCTAACCCACAATGATCTATTCAATAACAGCATTGCCCCTCTTGAAATTCCAGTCACCTGACAATGCTAAAAACTGTCCTTTATCAAGTGATTTCTATGCCAAGCACTGTGCTTAATTAACAAACATCATCTCATTTAATTCTGGCAACAAACTTACGGGGTGTGTCCTATTAGCCCCACTTCACAGGTGAGAAACCTGAGGCTAACTGGCTGTGTGACTTTGGGCGAGACATTTCTTAACCTTTTGGGGCTGCAGGTATCCATCTGTTAAATGAGGATAACAACAATAATAATAACAACTATCTCACAGGGCTGTTGGGAGGATGAAATGAGATACTTCCTCTACTGGGAGTGTTCGGGGAAGGGAGAATTGTATGTGGAGTACAGAAGTTGGGGTGGACACAGTACCTCACTGTAAACACACAGCAAATGTTAATTGATGTTATTAACAATTATTAATCTGCCCAAGATTACACAGCTGTTAAGTGGTAGGGCCAGGATTCAAACCCCAGGACTCTAAATCTTTAACTTCCCTCTATTCTAACTCTTGTGAAACATCCATGGGCATTCCTCTACCCCAAGGATAAAGTCCAGACTCTCTAAGATGACCCACAAGACCTTCAGGCTCTGTCCCTTCCCTCATATACCTTCCTCCTCCCCTCTGTTCCCCCCATGATTGTTCTGTTCCAGATACTGTGAATTCTCCCCATGCCTGTAGGCTCTTCAGCATTTAAGCAGCAGCTCTCATTGATCCTATATCCTCTTCCCACTACTCTCAGCCTGACCAGCTCCCTCTCTTTTTTCAAGTCTTACTCTACTACTTCTTCCTCAAAGAAGCCTGCCTTGGATTGGGTCCCCCTTTAAGGTGCCTCATAGTTTCCTCTCTCTGATCCCTGAGGCCACATAACTCAGTTGTCAGTTCCCCTTTAGGGTCTGTCTTCCAACCAGATTGTGAACTCTGGGGGCTGAGGCCTGTCTGCTTTGCTCACTGCTGTACCCTCTGCACCCTGCACCAAAGCAATGAAGGAAGGCAGGAGCTGATTATGAGTTGGGGGCTGACTGCACTGGGTTGCCCAGATACGGGTAGATCCTGAGCTGCTGGAGGGGTAGATTTCAAGTCTCTATCTACCCCAACTCCTCTACCTCATAGACAATTTCCTTTTCCCTTCCTTACTTTCTGATTGTATCAGCAGGTGGGCTTCTGCCCTCTGAGAATGGGGCTGGGTGGGGGTTCCCTGGGATTCTGGAACTGAGTAGGTGGGCTGGACTCAAAGTAGGCTGAGTGTCCCATCAATTTTCTTTCTCTGGGCTTCTGCCACAGGGACCAGGATGTATAACTGTTGGTCTAAATGACCATTAGAATATCAATCTAAGTGACAATTCCAGGGGGTGAATAGGCAGGATCTCCCCTGCTGGGGGTGGGGGAAGGGAAAGAGCTGAACCCCTTGAGCTAAGGGAGAGGGGCCACCTCAACTGGTGTTGGTGGGGGTTGGCTGATAAGAGCCAGGGGATTATCTGGACTTATGGCAGCCCTGAAGTCTGTTCTGGACATGGGAAAGAACCCAGGTCTCAAGGGTGATGGGGCCTGCAGCATAGCCAGCTCAGGGCAGCTAGGAATGGAACTCTGCCCGCTTGCGTGGCCCCAGATCCCGCGGCCTCTAATACCCTCTACACGCCAAAACTGGTGCACTTGCGTGGGTCAGGAGGTCCCGCCACCTGTGCGGCCCAGCTCAGTGGTATGCCAGGCCAGCCGCTTTCCCGGGAGTCTCCGGTCCGGCCCCGCCCCACCGCAGGGCTGCCCAGGACTGAGGTAAACAGACGCTAAAAATAACCCGGGCAAGGGGCGGCTTCAAGGAAGAATGGGGTCCCTCCTGAGCCTGCCCCTGTCTCCATGGCAACTGCCCCAAACCCGGCTGCTGACATCATGCCGCAGCTGCGGGAGCAGGGAGGGAGGGGGGCGCGGTGCGGCCTGGGACCCCCCACCCCGGAACCGGGCGGAGGCGGCCGGGTGGCCTCACTTCCTGCCGGCCCCCTCCCTGGTCAGCTGGTCACATTCCCGGACGGCGGCGCACTGGAAGCCTTGTGGCCTCCCCCGGGCCGGGCCTGGCAGAGGCGCTAGTCCGAGCTGCAGCGAGGGGCCCGCAGTGACTCAGCCGCGTCCTCCCCGCCAGCTTTTCCACCCGGGGAGGGCCCAGCCCAGCGCCCTGTGTGCTCCCCTCATCCCCACCCATTTCCAGGTACCCCTCTGCAGCTGCTGCCCCACAGGACCCAGGACAGAGAGGTTTTTTTTGTTGGGTTGTTTTTGTTTGTTTATTGTTTTTGACAGGGAGGTTTTGTACCTCACTCTCCAATTCTCATCTCTCTCCCCGCCCACGCATCCCCGCCGCTACCCTCCGTGCCGTGCCGGGGAAGCAGATAGTGCAGTGGCAAGAATTCAAATCTGGGTCTAATTCCCACCTCTCTCCAAACCAGCTGTGTGACCTTCAGAATATTACTTAACCTCTCTGGGCCAGTTTCTGCACTTGCCAGATCGTCTGGTAACCCTCCTCAGAAGGCTGTGCCGGCACTGAGCGATGCAGGCCCAGGGCAAGCCCCACAGATGGCCCACTGTATTGTTACACTGGACTGCACACAGTAGGTGCTCAGCCAGCCAGCCTGGACATATATTAGAAGCAACCCAGAACTGGCTGAGATGGGTCAGTCTTGGAGGCTGGACTCAGGCCTAACGGGGAGAGGAGAACACAGGGTGCTGAAGCCAGGCTTACCCAGACCCCTAGCCCTGGTGAGCAGCCCCTTACCCAAACTGGTTCTGCAGGCTGCCCAGGCCTGGCTGCTTGCAGAATTCCCACACCAGCCTCTCATTTCCAGGTACAGGGTCCGTTCCCCTACGGCGCCGGGGCTATCCTCTCCGGCCTGGGCCGCGCCAGATTTGGGCGAAGAGCCCAGCCCAAGGCCGGATCGGCCACCTCGGGTCGGGGCCCAAAGCGGCTTAGGCCAGCCGGTGAGGCCAGAGAGATTAGCTCATCTCGGAGGCGGGCCTGCACCCCTCGTCGCCCTCTCCCCATTCCCAGCTCAGTCTCTCCTGCGGCGAGGGCAGTGGGGCTCCCGATGAGCGTCCGTGCCAGGGCCCAGGCTGGCGCCAAAGGCCCACCCTCAGGCCTGGCCCACCCCAGAGCCCCGGGGCACAGGCCGCCTGGGCCTTGCCGTGGGAGGGAAGGAGGCAGCGCCGGGTGCGGCAGGCCCAGAGGCGGCGGCTTTTGTGGGCGTCCTCCGCGCCCGAGAGGAGGGGAGGAACGACACCGCGAGGCCTGGGTCCCGGGGATGGGGCGATACGGGACAGG